TCCTGACCTCTCTGGGTCCAAAACTTAAAACCCTGACCTTTCACGGTCCTCAACACCAATATAAGCTTAATTTTCAAACAGGCTGACCTTTCTTGGTCGCAAATCAAAAAACGCTTGACCTTTCGAGGTCCAGAAACTAACCTTTCAACAGGGGGCTTCGCTCACACGAGTACGGGGTAATCCTTTCACGCCACTTGTTACGAGTATAAATGTGGCTATACGACTATCCGGGATGATGGGGAATAGTGGAAGATGGCACTAACATTAACCAACTATACAGATACTCGCAACAAAACAGCAGCTAGTGGCAACTCTTTACTGATGGATAGTCCAAATGAACAGAGCGCATTTTCTGGCAGCATCGCAGTGCTGCTTATATACTCTTAGCATTAGGAACAGAATATCAAATCAGCATTAGAACAATGAAGAAAGATCTAGAGCGTCATCTAACAATGGGGTGTGGCTCGGGTGTGACAATAGAAAATAAGCATACAATGATGAATCATATGCAACTAGCGCATTGATCCTTATTGTCTTACGGTAACAATTAAAGGTCGGCTATTAATAACTTTAGCTGCTCTACTTTAAACGCTTCGATGGTCATATAATTATGCATCAATATTTCACCTATAACACCACGCCACACTGTTTAAACACGTAACGTGCGTTTCGCTGGCTGGTGGCATGCTGCGCACCTGATAATTTAATGAGAATAATTGTAAATGCCTGGCAGATGGTGGCTAGAAAACGGTCGGTGCAGTAGCGACACTCTAACTGCGGAGCGCATTTACGCATTGTGGTAAATGTAGTGTAGTGGCCATCGCGCTCAACGCTAATATCGCGCTAAATATACATTATCTGTACCTTTACGTGCTCTTTACCCGGACAGGCTTGTACATGGTACATAATTCGTGCAAATGGACGAAATCATTCACTTTCGCGCTCTCAAATTTCGATCATTTTTATCAAATTTTAAAATGAAATTCCAAGAATTTTACATTTATTTGAAAATTCGAAAAAATGTTAAAACCGTGGTTCAGTGTAAAAACGATCTTCATGTATATGTGCGTTTCCATTGAAAATTTGGAAAAGATTGTTTGATAACGAGACTTTTGGCACACCGTAACACTTTTAAACTTATTGGAATTTTCTTACAGCCATAACTCCCGAATCGGATGTTGCGCGTACAAACGGTTTTCACGCTTATGTATACCAATCATCTGGCTAGAGAATGCCATCAAACAAAGCCAAGAAGTGTTACGGAGTGCGCGAAAGTGAAAGTTTTCGGCCATGTACAGGAATTGGGTGCGATGTACAGGAATTGGGTGCGATGTACCGGACCACTTCTATTATAGCGATACGTTCTCTTCACGCCGCCATGGAAGGTACACATGAACCGGCAGACGGGATCCTGGGCTGTGATTCCGTTGAAATCCTAATGCTGACTGAGCCCAGCATGTGTAGTCGGCGTGTACTGCACGCGCCGGTTTTAGTCAGCAGCAGGATGGTGATAATGTTATGATATTCAGTTCGACGACGCAGTTCCGCTGTTTATTTCATTTCTGGAACTCTTCAGAAGCGAGCTCGTACCTTAGCTTTGCACCGTTTATCGATTCTTGGGGAATGAGTAATACTTCTCCGTCCGCACTCCGCACAGGCCCACATTAAACAACCGATCCGTGACTTAAGGGTAGTGGCTCGGTACATGGTACCAAATTCGTGTACCTACCTGCACGAAAACTTTTACTTTCGCGCACTCCCAAAAACTTTTTTTGTTTCGGATGTTGACATTGACACATGCGCGAAAACCGTTTGTGCGCGCATCATCCGGTTCGGAAGTAATGGCTGTTAGAAAATTCCAGAAAGGTTTAATGCATTCAGGTGCACCAAAAGTCTCATTATGGACCGATCTTCCTAAAATTTTGCACGTAAATGCACATAACCCCGAAGAGCGCTCTACACCGATCCACTGTTCTAGCATGTTTTTCCAATTTTAAAATAAATTTCAAAAATTTTAAAATTCATTTTAAAATTTGAAAGAAATCATGGAAGTCATGGATCGGTGTAGAAACGATTTTGTGTGTAAAAATTTGACTTGCACTGTAACGTCCACAGTCCGCTTACATACCGGCTACCAGCCCAATCCCATGATATTAAAATTATTTCCATATTTCACATCCACTGTGTTACCGCAATTGCACCTATGATATAAATCCTAATCCTGCGGAGGATGCATCCGACTAGCCTACTATGTCTGTACTCTGTACGTATCTGTGTCTTCTGGTTTCGCTCATACAGTATGCGTACTGTACTGTCAGGAGGTACTTGTGATTCCAGCTAGTCGAGATTAGCCTGTGCATTTCGTAATACACTTCCGGTGGTGCTGGGGGCTTCCCGCCCTTTCTGATGGGCGCACCCATACCGCTGCCTGATGTGCTTGCTCTCGCGTCCAATCACAGATCAGCAGAGGCACACCACTCTTTCTCTCTTTGCGTCGCGTAGACTGATCCATGTGGCATTTGCCCAGCTGCATTCGCTCCAGCGCGTGATTCGGGTTCTCCACTTTGCACGCAACTTTAATAAGAAATTGTTTAAAAAACTTGATTCATCTCTCATATGAGTGTGAATGATTTCTTTAAACAACTGGACAGTACTCGTGTTTGTAATCCGGTTGTGTTCTTCCCCATCTGATGGTGAGTGTAAATGTGTACTGCAGATCCAAAACGGTAGGCAATACAATGACGCACTAATCTAGTTTCTCCTCCACGGGTCTCACGATAGAGCCGCGATAACACATTTGTATATTGTAGAGGATGCTCTGTTTCGTGCGGGGCTTTATAATTCATTTATTTATAAAAGCACAATAAAGAGCAACTTTCGCACTGAGCACGAAGCTAGCAGTCGGCGTTACTGCAAAAATCGCTAGAACTCCAACGAAAAATAATAAACTATTCGGACTTGCAAAATTAGTTACATAATAATCAGCAATACTCCCCCTTTCCTTTTTTGAAGTACCTTCTTTGAAAAACTTTTTGAGGGAATTTAAGGGAGGCACGCGCTTCGTGCCCCCCTTAAATTGCCACTGTGATTCGCGGATGCAGCAGGTGCAGCAAGATCCGGAAGGTTGCAAGGCGCTCCGACGGGGCGTCGGGGCGGGAGATAGGGCTTGATTGCCCAGTTACTCAACATCTATTTGAAGGCTCTCATCAAATACTCTCTACATCGGAGACCATTGCTCTTAACTAATAATATGTGTTCAACTATAGACTTGGGACTGCGCTGTTGCATCATTTTCTTATGCAGAATTTATGAGGCGGTGTACAACCTCCGGATCACACTACAAGTAACAAATCACTCTGAAAAGCTGCGGATCATATTTCGTATTGAAGGGCGCTGCAGTAGTGTTGCAGCAGTGTAGCGTAAAACTCTTAGGGTGGGTCTCACATTCGAAGCGAATCTGGCTTTGGTACAGTCGCTCAAACCGCACGAGGTGGCTGCTTGCAGTGGCCACCCTTACTGATACGGTACGCGAAGCCACTTCGCGAGGTGGAGTTGCTGTATCGAAACTAGATTCGCTTCGAATACGAGACCCACCCTTAATCTTGGTAAATTCTTATTACAGGCTGATACGTCTCGGAAAGCGATGGATTCAAGACGGATTCCGCTTTCAGGCTGATGGTGGCGGAAGTGATCGATTTCTGTACGAGACTCTCGCCCATGAGTCGATCACTCGCGTCACGAGAGTGGCCACTTTGAGACAGTTATCGCCGTCTACTGGCAGCTCCGCACAGCTTTCTATGGAAACGCTTACGTGTTCCGCCATGCGGCCGTCGCTTAGCAGCCGCTGCCACAACACACACACCCTGTCGCAGCAACGATTACCATTAAGCAACAGAAACCTGTGAGATGGCTTAGCTACAGTATACCGTACTGCTTTGCTCTCATTTGAGAAAGCACAATGTGCATCCTCAAATGATGGCTAATCGGTACGGTACTCTGTATCGGGCAATTATGCACATCCAGATGGCCCAAGGTAATCCTGACTTACGACGTACTTAGTGCGTGGTCTTGTCAAGAACCTGGATAACGCTCAGCTGCAGCTGTCGCTCAACGCGGCGGAACAGCAGAGCCACTTCCAACGGTTGCACAGGGCACACTACAAACGGCACGCGACCAGGAGCTGGCGCTGATATAATGCTCCCAGTCCTAGAGGGCACCGCACTTATCCGCGCGGAACCAATTTGCGGCTCCACTGCCCGCCCACCGACATCAGCGTCACCCCATTCAGACGACGGAGGCATGGGATCAGCTGTTCCCGGGATACCATTTCCACGGGCGCTGGCGGCCGTCGTGAAGAAGTACCTCGACGTGATGGCCGGGACTCGGCCTGCAACGTTGCGGTACGGAGCAGTCGCGTATCTTCCCCATTGGGCACTAACACCGTCTGCTGCGTTGGGCATCCGCAGTTAACGATCAGGCGAGGTGTACTGCTGCCGTTCTCTGATTTCTCTTCCAATCCGATAACGCGGCCGTGCTGCAGCTCACCATCTATCTCCACATCCACGGCGTTCCACAAACACAGAGATCGTTCATCTTGTTCGCAGACAAAATTCTGTAGCACGTTACACGTTAAAAAAAGCGGTGATGCTGAATTTGCCCTCGATTACATGATTGTATATCGATAGCATATCGAATATTCTAGAGATGTTTTAGAGTACGATAACGGTCGAAAAGCCGCCACAAATCGGCTTGTCAAAACCTAGAAAGTGTGCAGTATAGGAAAAGCTTTACCTGCTCACCGGAAGCGGAAGTCGACTCAGCTGACAGAAGGCCGCTATCGGCCGGCGGTTACGTGGTCGTCAAGAGTGCTAGAAGCCGACGTCTGGTGATTCTCTCCGCAGTCAGCACAAGCCAGTCAAAAGAGTAATTAGTGTAGTGGAAAGAAACCGCGTTACAGGTTAGCAGTTACTGCGCATCTTGCTCTTTTGGGAGCGCCGCTTTCTTAGTTTAGAGCCCCAGGGATTTCCATCACTGACTTCCAGTTTTCACTATTTTATGCCAGAAAATAGCGAGAAGTCGCTGCGATTTCTTATACACAGACCGAAGAAATCTTGGCGTGCATAAATGCTTTTCGGATGGATGCGCGTGACGATCAGCATCCGATTCCGTTACCGCAACAAGGATTAGGATTATGATCGGCATACAGCCACCTACGTTACATAATTGCAAACAGCAAAAGCAAAACAACAAGTGTCTGGGAATGCTGGAAAGCGAAAGTTTTCATGCATGTACAGGAATTCGGTACCATGTACCGTGGCACTTTTAATTTAGATACACACATTACAGCGCTTTAACCAATCAATACATAACGATATAATTAGGAATAAGTTTACTTAATGCTGAACGTACAGACCTTTTGGTAGTCTCGTATATACACTTCCTGTTTATACATTTATTAGGGATCCACAGAATTCAGATGTTGAACAGGTCGTTGATCCCCCACAACACCAGTTTGCTGTCGTGGGCCAGATCCACCGTGCGCAAATCGCGTCCCGTTCGTGCGCACCGCCATCGGGAGGATCAGAGTTGATGAAGTCCATGTTCGCCTTCCGGTAATTGCAGATCGTCTGAACAAGGTCTGAACATCGTCATCGGATGTGCCAGTCATGCACATCCGACCGCATCCTGTCAAAGAGCGATCCGCCCATTTTCCGGCGCATCGACAATGAGGCGCTGACAGTGTGGCCGGAAGTCAGTCAGTATTTGTGGTGCCCTGTATTTCAGGCAGAAGGATTTGATCTGCATGACGGACAGTTGCAGTGCCATGGCCCCAATAAGTCCAGCATGCAGCGCGCGATGTGCATGTTAAACCGCTCCGCGTCCCCAGTCACCCGCCGATGCTGTGATGGTGACGCTCTGCGTAGCGGCAGTGATGGTCCGGTTAAGCGCCATCGCTATACGGGAGCAGTTCAGATGTTCGCGACATCGTAATCTTGACGGATTTTCCATCGGGACACTGATGTGGCGTGTGGTACGCGGATCGGCCAGTATTACTCGCCACAGCTAGTGCATATGCTCTGCAAAACGCATTTGTCAGATGCTTAATAGCTACTGATGGTTTAAGGTAGTGAATGACCTTTACTACTTAGTAATTACAGACATGCACGCTGACCCAGTCGTTCTGCTAACGGTGACCTTTATATATAAAACTCAACAATGCTAATACTGTAACAACATCCGCGCTACGAAGACATTCCAAAGAACACTATCCAAATCCAGATATTCCAGAGCACTAGCTGGTCAAGCAAGATGGTACTAATTCATTTACAAGAAGTTCTTCTCTCTCAAGCACTCGACAGCGATTTTCTTATTTCGTCCGATGTACACCTTAACGCGTTAACCGTTAACATGTCGACAGTTTTGCCGGCTACGCTATACGCACTTTATACGCCACTGGTTTGTATGCATAGATTTCGTGTGTATGTACAAATTGCAAACGCCATAATAATTACGAATGAGCTTTACCCAACATACCGCATGGTTTGGGCTTGCGCGTGTAGGTCCCGCGGCGCAGGGATGAGGCGCGTCGGCGCTGCGGAGGCCTCAAAGTTAACCTACACGGTGCCATCGGCACTGTTAATGTCCTAGGGAAGTATCCGAGCCAGTAGTCATCCTTCTCCATCCACACGACTAGAGTATTCCGGTAGCTAATGCACTGCGACTCACGGCCAATCAAAACCGGTCGAAATGGCGAAATCACTTGCCGCAAATCCATTCCGTTCAGCAGCAAACTGCAGCAAAAAAATGAAGTACCTGTACGTTCAGCAAAAATTGGGTGAGAAAACCCTGTCAAACAGATTTCGAAAAAGTAGTCACGTTAAAGAGACCCCTGGCAGTAAAAAGTGGGTTTGGGAAAACGGGGATGATTTGAAAACGATTAACGGCTGTGTTTGCACAAGTTTGACTAAACGAAGCGAGGATTTTAGCTAAACGATAGCTACACAATGGTGCGGCGTGATTGAAAGCGACCAAAACGTCCGTCGGACGTCAGGGTCGCTAAACCGACCAAACGGTTTGGAGACCCAAAAAATTTCCACCGTAAATTTGGCCTATTAGCGATGGAAACATGATAATAGACTGGGTTTCTAAGTTTTTTGCCCATAATCGCAGAAAATTTACTGGAAACAGAGAAAAAGTGGCAGGTACGAGTACCCGATCCGAGCTACACTAGCTAGCTACACGTTTTGTACTGGGCTGCAAATTAGGACGAGACGCGACCGATTTATTTCCCTAGGACTTCCGTGGAATTCGCTTATAAAGTTCTGCAACAGCAGGCAGCGGCTTCTGGTGATCGCTTAAAAAATTAGCGATTCGTCGTTAAAAGTCATACAAAAAATAAACTCAGCGGAAGCGGAAGTCGACTCTTAGAATAGAATGCGACCAGCGGCCGGCGGTTACATTATTTATGTCTTTAGCCACTTGTAGAGAAATTCATCGAAGTACTTCTTGTCTGTTCGCTCGCATCAAAAGATTTTTACCTTCTTTTTACATAAATCGTTTTCTAACGCTAATCGTTTTCTTTCGTTTTCTATCGTTTTCAACGACCTGCGCTCAAGCTCTGACTTGGATTACTACAACTTGGACTTGGACCACACTTGGACTTGGACTTGTGAACTTGTGCTTCTAAATTGGACTTCTAACCTTGGACTTCGAAACTTGGACTTCTAACTTGGACTTCTTACTTGGACTTCGCCTTAGAAAAAACTAGCAAGCCTAAGAAACCTGAAAAACCCAAGAAACCAAAGAAACCTAAGAATTCTAAGAAACCAAAGAACTCTGAGATAACGAAGAAACCTAAGAACCCTAGAGATACCTAAGAAAAGCCCAAGTTGAAGAGTTCAAATTAAAGTTTAGAAGTCCGGGTTAGGAAGTCCAAGTGTGGTCTGAGTCCAAGTCCGAGCTGGAGCACGGGCCCGCTTAAATGGATTTAATTCTCGCCCTTGAAGGAATTCGCTTTTAAGATACTCTACCGCAACATAAAATGATCTTCCAGCTGGACGGAGGCAGCGGCTTCGGGTTTTGGCTTTGAAAATTGGTCATCGTCGTTAGATGAAAATCATGAAATACCAAAGTTAAGAAAATTTTCTGTACGATTTAACAGTTTAACGTACGCGCAAGTTTAGGGCAAGACTCTTTGAAGAGCATTAATTCGAGGCAACATACGCTAACAACAACAACGTTTCTCCAGAATACACAACATTTCAGATCAAGTTTTAAAAAAAAATTACAGCAGCGTATCGAACACCACAACTCATTTACTCACTCCCTTACAAACACATTCGAACCTCAAATCTCAGGTTCCAGAATTGTTTTCGCCATGTCTTTTAACGTACCAATGCGGGCAAAAGTAGCAGATCGTCTATGTTCACGAGCAGGAACGTATACACTGACAAACGTTGCTCACTCCTTATAACAAATATTCCTCCTCACTCCTGAATACAAATATTTTGCAATTAGGCTTAGACGGCTTTGAGCGTGGAGCGTTCTGTAGACTCTTTGAAGAGCATTTTGAAATGCAATGGAGTAATGTATTAAGCATCTCTTTCTCTGCAGATTAAAATTACAGGAGAACTCATTTAAATCTTAGAAAATACCCCAGAGTGATCAAAAATTCGAATATCCTAACGTGGTTTCTGGATAGTGGATTCAGCATTACAAATGGTTTTTCATTCGGAAGCCAACACACATCAGCAGATACAAATGCATACATAAATTTATAAAAACCGACAAAACGACGGAAAAACATAATAATGAGCACGGCAACAGTAGATAGATCAGACGCTATCCCATCTCCACTGATAAATCCAACATCGTAAACTGCCAAAATATGCAATAACTGCTGACAGCCATCACGTAACCACCGGCTGGTAGTGGTGTTCTGTATGGCGAGCGGCTGGGGTAAAAAGGCAGTTACTTTCATTTTGATCGTTCTGTTCGAGACTTCACTTTCCTTTCTTGATTTCTTCACTTTCTTCACTTTCTTCACTTACTTTAATACATGAAAATGTTCAAACCAACATAGGCGAAAACAACTGACAATTAAGATGATTTTACGACAGTCGCGAACCTAGCAAACACAGAGACCGACAGAAAAAACTACGGAAACAAGCAGCCAGAATCCACAGGTGCCACACCAACGAGCTCGCTGGTTAAGGGCCAAACGCAGAGCGTTGTAAGGGCAAGCCCCCAGATTGCTTCGGGCGTAACAACAAAAAAATCCGACCGCAAACATCCGCGCTTCCTCCATCCGTCTCCAGAGCCTGGAAGATCCACGTTCGTTCCACGATACCCCAACGACATGAACAACGAAATGAAACGATCCAACGCGCAGTGAGAGTTGCAGAAGTCAACAAGGCTCCACAGCACAGATCTACGTTCTTCGGCCGCATTTACCATAAAAGCAGGATTTAGGGGTTGACCGGATGCCGCGCTGATGAGATCACTGGTTAAAAGGGCCAAACGCGAAGCGTTATAAGGGCAAGCCCCCAGATCACTCGAAGCACAACATTCAGACGCCCCAGAATGTCCCCCCTCACGGCGCATGCGGTCGCTCCCGCAGCAAAGGCTCCAGCGTCCTGACGACTCCATTAGACAGACAAGAATGCGTTCCGACGTATGACTCGAGCAGTATGAAGTTAAGTAAGGAATAATGAGAGGAATACAGTCACGAAAAGATGCTGCGAGAACCGAGGGCAGTTCGTACACTGGAGAGTGTACCTGTAGTTCCTCTGAACAACTTTTACTTGTCCCTGCCAATCTGGTTCGAACCAGAAATGGCAGGGCTCACTATTTATCCACAAAAATTCCCAAGAAAAATCGAAAAACACAAAAAGGTTACTCTAGACGATGTTGTCTAGAGAAATTACATGATGTAATTTCTATACGATTTAGGGGGATATACGATTTTCATACGATTTTCACTTACTTCACTTACTTCACTTACTTCACTTACTTCACTTTCTTCACTTTCTTCACTTTCTTCGCTTTCTTCACTACTTCACTTACTTCACTTATTTCGCTTTTTTCATTAGAAAATTATAACGATCCGTACTTACCCAGCCGTATGTTTTGCATACTTTTATGATAATAACTGGTTTTGCGAACGGAGAGCATATAGATATTACTCGTATTTTCAACAGGTAAAGTACAGCAGGTACCGGTACTTCAAGGATATAAAGGCCTGCTTCGGCAAGTTCGGGCACTTTTGAAATAAATCATAAAATATGTCGTTCTGTTTTTGTTTTTCTTACTTTTCCAGTGTAGGAACTTTTTCTTGCGGATATAGAAATACTATAATATGTAGTTGTCTTTTGATGTGCCAGTATCGAGTTAAGCGGGTGCTCACGGTCAGTGGAAGGGGGTAGCGCCGTACAGCAATACGTAAGAAAGAAAAACAGCTAAAAAATGCAGTGAGTGAGTTGCAGCAGTATACATCTGCAAGAACATAACCATAACATCTTAAAATTCTGAAAATTTTGCAAATTTATATTCCTTACACCGTGATGACCTCAAAACAAGAGCAACCTCGCATAGACCTGTATGTTAAAACTAACTAGTAAAGGGCATCTTCCAAGGAATGTGATTCAGTGATTGCCAAATGCATTGGTCTGTTTGGGGAAAACGTTAGTGCTCAAAAGAAGTTCATTCAGAAGAGATGATTAATAAATTACGATATTACTTGTTTTCCACTGTCCAGAATTTATAAACTATTGACGGCTGAACACGATTACCGGTATGTCTCAGCAAGCAGTGCAGAGTTTTGATGCCGGCATGTATATATATATGTAGGTAGGTACATATTTTCAAGAAAAAATTCGCAAAGCGGCCTGACATTTTACAGTAATATAAAGGATTCCAATGGGGAAAAATGGGATCCATTCCCATATAAAAATGGAGATGGGCAACCTCTGATAGGAACCCATTTCCATCCCCGTATACCTTATTTAACATTCTTTTTATTATTTTTCTTTTTATTTTTTTATTAAATAAGGTACACGTGTTTGTATGTATAGATTTCGTGTATAGATGAAATTTGCAAAACGCTAACCCACTATTATCATAAAAGTATGCAAAACATACGGCTGGGTAAGTACGGATCGTTATCTCTAATGAAAAAAGCGAAATAAGCGAAGTAAGTGAAGTAAGTGAAGTAAGTGAAGTAAGTGAAGTAAGTGAAGAAAGTGAAGAAAGTGAAGAAAGTGAAGTAAGTGAACTTAGTGAAGTAAGTGAAGAAAGTGAAGAAAGCGAAAAAAGTGAAGAAATCAAGAAAGGGAAGTGAAGAAAGTGAAGTCTCGAACAGAGCGATCAAAATGAAAGTAACTGCCTTTTTACCCCAGCCGCTCGCCATAGTTCTGCCCCCGAACTGATTTCCGTTTCCGGTTGATCATTGAGTATAGATTATAGCTTCATATTTACAGTTTATATTTACATTTTTCATGTTTTAGCAAGCCAGAAGTTTCGCCACCACCGCGCTTTGGGTTCCTTAGCTGTTTTGAATACTTTCTCTTTATAATCAAATCAGCGAGTTTTTCGCTTAATTTTGGTTCTTTTGTGACTTCCAAAAGATTTATGCCGGAATTTAATAATCGTCTGGGGGATTTTCTCTTAGAGTTCTAGCTGCTCTGTAACTTAATGTGGGCTCAAGTTGACAGTCCCAAAGGTATGTTTTGTTATTTAAGGAACGTTATACCGTCAAGACATCATTGAAACGGAAGTTAATCGATACAATCGCTGACGGCGAGCGGTAACGGCGAACCGCAAACTCGATTGCTCATTCGTTCAGCGTATCTGTGGCGCAAGGTCTCTATTGCATGTATTTTACCGTTTACGCGATGCATTTGTGCAAAACCGTACACTTCTTATGATAATCATTCCTTGGAAGTTGGGCTTTTTTACGGAATACGCTGTGCCCGTGATGGCTGAATCCTGCGATCAGAGTCGGGGTGCAATCAAGATGGTTAATCTCAGCGCAGTGCAGATGTAATGCTCTGCTCGACATACAACGACCCCCCGTTGTTCGTGAATCGTTGATTTCGGGTGACTGGCAGAGCAAATGGTGTTGGTTTCTTATGGAACGACATGGAATCGCTCCACTAGACAATTCTGAATGGGAAGTGATGCTGCATAACAACCCGCATCGTCCGTGGAGTCGATATTCAGTTAGGTGAATTATTGGGCAATGCTGGACCATGGAAGTGCTGCATTTTCTTTGCCCCATCGTCAAATGAGCAGACTTGAAATCCACTAACGCGGGAAACCTTAGACACTCTAGACCAGACCAGATGAACGCCCTAATGGGTGATCCATATTGGCAGCAGTTGCGCATCGATCCGCACTACGGGAGAGAACTGTATTTCATGTAAGAACTGCAAAAGTATTAGAAAAGTCTTTACAGTGCAAAAGTCTTTACAGTATTAGAAAACGGCCGTAATTGCTTTTTCATGGGTTCTCCTTATCCCAGAACCCGATGATGGAAAAAACGGGAATGTCAAGGCCACGTGTTCAGCTCCAGCATATAGCTAAAATGTCTTCAATAATCAAACTCTTTCCGTCCTAACCATGCCAACCTCCCGTACGCGTTGGTAGCTCGGACGAATATGCACTTATATTTGCTGTTGGTAGAAGACGCAGTGATAGGAAACGTATTTCGTAAAGGGCGACAGCACTCGGGCATTATGTTGAATATGTAGGTAGAATCATTTACTACTGCAGCAGCTGCCAATAATTGTGGTGTTGTATTCTGCAGGCTAAAGCGGCAATTTCTCGGGATCCCCGCCACGATTCTCCGGCACTTGGTCTAACCCAGCACACCGTGCAGCTGCACCTGTTTTGATTCTGTAATTGTGCGAGCGGTATGTGCTTCACCCATCCTCCACCTCTGGATTTTGTACTTCGCCAACGCATTTCTGCCCGGCTCGTCAAGCCGTGCGCTTCGGTGATACATACGGCTTGCCATAATATGTTTTGTACTATAGTGGGTTTAATGAGTAACATAAACTACAGTTTAAGGCTGCAGCTTTGAATTGAGAGTTTGTTCTCACTCATTAGGATAAACAATGTGGAAACAGCAGAATGGTGATGATTGCCGCACCAAGTGCCGCTGACGATGAAAGCAAAGACACCTTCTCGGCGTTTCCCCTTGCTGAGTCAGCAGGGTGAAGCGCCTAGAAGGTATCTTTGCTTCCCTCGGGCAGTCATCAGCGAAGATGCGAGGATTATTCGTAAAATGCGGGAAGAAGTGGAGATTCTGTCAAATCAGTTGTTGCTGATTACGGTGCGACAACTTTTTGAGCAAATTCACTGGAGAAACCACTGTTTCGAACGGCTGTGGGTGGAAAAAATTTGATTATGACCGGGTTTGGCTGTTACCAGCTTCTTCGTGACTTCTGAGGTCCAGTTTAAAAATTTAACAAAAAAATGAAAAGCCAGAAATTTCTTTGCAGCTAGCGGATGCATGTGTATGGCGGAAAATTTGGAGGATGAGTGGCGCCGAGCATTGTCTTAGTGGCAGGAAAATCGCAAACGTACAAGCTCGGTTTCGTGAAAAAAATTACTGATCAAAGATGGCAACACTAAGCCGGTTATCGTGCCGGTAAGGATGTTCAGAATACTTTATATTCATTGATTCGTGCGGATGTGACATAATTTCATGAACTGGTAATGTGCCATCGCATATCAATAGCGCATGGGATATGTCGCATTTAGGGCCGGAAGCGCTACGCCGAATCCAGTTCAACAAGGGACAACTTGAACAAATTCTGGAAGGTCAAGGCAGAATGAATCCCCGCTTGCATGCTGGGAATCTTTCAGTTTTGACCTTTCCTCATTTGAGGATATTCAGCCGAACGTCGGGGGACAGTGTTGTTTGGTAAGTCGAGATGCACTCTTTACACCCCTGACTGATCGACAATCAACTTCCCGAGCACACACTGCAGAACTGGAGCGGCGGCAGAGTCAAAATTGTATAAGGACAGAAGAAAAGCTGCACTGTTTATAGAAGGCAGATGACGTAAGTTTACCTTTCTGACTCCCATAATCAATGTACTTTTGCGTTTTCGACGAAAATGTGGATGAGGAGGAGGCTGCGAGGAGTCGTTTGGCAATGTGGAGTCTGGGGAATAGTTCGAGGATATAGCTTTTCAAAAAACTGGCGCAAAACAGCTTTATACGCAGACAAGCGATTACCACTCACTACAGTCCGTTTTCTACTTGTTTGGCTATTCGCACCACCCCGCACCACCTTTAGGCTGTTCGCCCTACCTTTTGAGAACACCTTTTAGCTATTGCCACCGCCTTTGCACACCACTTTTGGCTATTCGCAGTTTCGCACCTATGTATTGAATTGAGTTGTTTACTGGTAAAGGACATTGTGACCGATTGGTACTCTTCTGGCACTCCTTGAAGGCTCGCAGCTATCCAATTGGGATTGATCATTGTGCCATGGACTTTTCTGCTTGTCTGCTTAGTAACTATCGGCAAATATTACCGGCGTTATCTTTACCGGCTTCTAAAATTCATGGATGCATGTTGAACGGATATCACCATACTCCATTTTCTAAAAAAAATATGTTTACAAATGTCACTATACTCCCGTTCCTAAAAAAAGGTTACCGTAGCAACCTAAAGTATGTAATTCTACATAACATAACTAGAAGATGAGAATAGCCGAAAGGAGATGTAAAAAGGCGATGACAATAGCCAATGGTATTGTAAAGCTACTGTACTTTAAAAAAGTGGGTGCGAATCGCCAAGAAGGGGTGAAAGGGGGTAAGCACAGCCATTCCCGTTCTAATTTTTGGTTAAAACTTACTGTAGTGAATGTGGCTGTATGCTGTGATTGCTGAAATACCGCTGCTGGCGCTGCACACTGCTTTTTAGTGGGCCGAAGCTTTTTCAGTCTCTGTACTGCATTTTATAAGCCTTGCTTAACCCCTTGTTTTCCACTTTGGAACCAAAAATTAAGAAATGAACTGTACCTCTCCCATCATGGCAGGCTTTTCTGGGATTATGGCAGTGCCTTCCCGCTTAAAGCCGGTGGTGCTGGAGCGGATGTATACAGAGACAACTAGCGATCGGAGTTTGTTTAACCTTCATATGTCCAAAATATCTCGGGGTAAGCAGACAGATATTTGCCGTTCCGGCTTATCGGTGTGCTTCGCGCGCCACATTGGCAAATACGCCTACATGCCTCCACGATTTGTACGCATCGCCATAGCTCTACACTCTCGGAATACCACCACACCACTCTCACACGTAATCCATGGCAATATTACAGCATAAGTTTACTACAGATTCTTCACGCCATTGTCACGACCTGGCGCATAGTTTATTAGCAGCCAGGGAGCTGCTGAAATGCAGACTAATATCAGACTATCAGCAATGACACAAACACACTAACTGGCTGTTGTCAGGCCGCTACAGACTGAGATGTTTAAAGCCATCCAAACCACTCGGGCGTCTTTGACGTCCGGCAGGCGTTTTGTCTCTTAAACGGCCCAAACATCCCAGGACCGCAAGAACGTCCGTCGTTAATTTTGCTCGTCCGGTTTAGAAAATATCCTAATACAATCCTAATGCTAAAAATCCTATTTTTATACGATTAGTGAAAATCCTAATTCTTCCATAACCCGTAGCCCGTAAGCATTCTATAAATTAATTTCTCCTGCTGTATTACCCGGCCTAACATCTGTTAGGCTTCCGAGCCATGCAGGATGTCTTGCAGACACCAGACAGGGAAAGGAACTGCAGTAATAGGCGTGGTCCTTTCTCAGCAAGTTTATGGAGGTGAATGCTCATTCCGCGTTCCCCAAAAGCATTTGACATCGTGACTGGGTGCACGCGGAACTGGCGCCGTAACGCATAGGATGATATGATGGCGGGAAGACGCGAACACGGACACGTCGCTCGGGACAAGAACTGTAGCAAGCACAGGTGCGAAGCGTGGACGTAGAGGGCACAGGCGTTGTTGTTGACCAACACGTGTCATCGTTAATATCCTGAATGAATCCCAGCCAGCTGGCATCACGCACCATGTCCCCCGCTGCAATATTTCGGTAATACTATAGAGTAACAGTTAACACCATGTAGCACTATAATGAAAAATATCGAAGCATTAGTTTATGATAATATAATTCTTATCTATTCTGAACAACCAGCGAGCGCGACTGCTGCAAAAGGCAACAGAATATCGGTAACGGACTTACGGGTAATTTGACGTAGAGGAATTGATTCGCAAGGATCTATCAGTAATAAATCGTAAATAGAAAACGATAACTACAATAAAGTACATATTCGGATGATATTCCATGCCGTGCTTAATTGTTGTTATAATCCACCATAATCCATGCATTATCCGGGAATGGATCAGAATACTATTCCGCGGGAAGCGGATCGTCTAACTCGATGTTATTAAGCTCGGCATCGGGCGTTTATAATCCCCGTTTGTCCCCCGCTCTGGCGAAATACAATTCATTACAAGAAAAATTAGAACTCCGAAAGCGACTTGAAATCTAATTAGATTTTTAATCGCTTCTAAAGTTCTTATTCGTTCTTATCGATTCTGCAGCCCTCACTCATCTTCTGGAGTTCTTATCGCTTCTGGCATTTCAAACGCTCTTTGGAATGCCAGCGTTCTGCCTTCGGAAGAGAGAAAGAAATGCAACAGAGTCTCCTTAGTTGGGTTGATGCTGCTCAATCTGTAAGGATGGCTTTTAGGGCAGACACGAAAACGGCAAGAAACACACGCTAAAGAGACACACCGTTGTCGTCCTCCGATATTCATCCGCATCTCACCGCTGAAATGCCGAAGCGGGTGACTTAAATTGCCAGTTAAAGGTGACACGCGCCAGTCTGCAACTGGAGCCAGAGGTTTTTATTTACGAAGTCAGAAAACATTTTATGCAGAAAGCTATCAAAATCTTCAGATGCCAGCGACAGACAAGAACTGCATCGAATTTTTCTACAAATTCAGAGCGTGGCTAGAGACATTAACAACTAACGTAACCGGCGGCCGGTAGTAGCATTCCGGTTGTAGAGTCGACTTCCGCTTCCACTGTCAAGGCTGTTACGTCATTTAAGCTGTTACGTCTTTTCAGCTATTGCGGAGATTTATTTGTTTCGTTGTACTATTGATAACAAAACTGGCTGAAATAACATGGTTTTCTTTCGGAACGCTATTTCTCTGCCCAAATAACTCGGACAGAGATAAATTTAAGCAAATATCGCTGGCAGAAATAACTTATAGGGGATGTTAGTTTTATTATACATGCAAGAGTATTAGTCAGCAACAGCTAACAGCATGACTCGCGAAATAACAGATTCTCAATACTAAAATTCTGATTCCAGGAGCTTTAAATCTGAATACTAAAACTCTGAATCTGAATAACAAAGACTCGGAATCTGGCCGGTGATGACCGCAGTCTCTAATAACTACGTACAATATAACAGCTACTTCTTTTTTTTAGTGATGTTATTTTATTGAGGTTCGTATTGGACAATGTAATACAAGAATATCAATTAACAAAAACCATAACATCATTTTCGTTCCGCTAAATGAAAGGCGAAGTGCACATCTTCCTTCTCTACCGTGTCTACTTCTATCTGTACGAGCCAGTGCGATTTGCTAGCTGCTTGTAAACAAGGATGCGGCGCGCGGGACAGTGTGTTACCGGCACAAGATGAGACGTTTATCGGCATATGAATTACGCTTGCGTAGTAAATGTTGTTCTACTTCAAGCGGAGGCAGGTATAGCCGGTATTTTTTCTGAATTTACCGAACGGACCTGTGCCCACATAAGCTCTTCAATGGAACTCCCTGATCTGTTCAGAGACTGTTGCTTTACGGATAAACCGAACAGCTGTACTCCATCCTTTAAAGTACTTACCGTTCAGTCGTCGCGGTATGAATCGTTATCTGTTGATATTAAACATGATTGTAAACGTCCGCGCTCGGTCAGATAATTTAAAGCGCATCGCGAAATGGATGTATACGAGCACTCGTATAGCTTAAAGCTGCTGTCCGCAGAGTTTCGCTCAGTGCCTTCGCTGGGCATGGAACGTAACGCATCGGGCAACTGCAAACTACGCTATGGAAATATGTACTGACGAAGTAAATTTCGCACCTGGAATGCGAAGACCCTCAAGGGTCGCCAAAAGTGTGCACTTTACGTACACCAGCGACGTTTCACTCCAATCAACTCGGGATTAGTGAAATGATAATTGCACAAATGTTAAAAACCTTATTCGGTTCAGACACAGTACGTATTAAAAATGATATGAAAACTTTGAGATTCGAGAATATCAGGATAAGAAATCGGTGTAAGTTTCCCAACGGCCGACTCGAATGTTTTTTCTAAAAAATCTATAGTTTTATAGCACAGCCTTTCGCGTCTCACACCACTGAACGAAGAATACCGTATCCGGCAGCGCAAGCTGCACGGCAGAGTATGGTGCATGGAAAAAGTCTTGCTGGGTGTACACACATTGTGAGGGAAACTGATGCGTGCATGTGTGATGCCCGGTCGGGGGAAGAAACGGTACGGTACCAGACAGGCACTTGCTGCTTCTTGTGCTCGGCATTTCCTAAATAAGCACTGGCTTGAAGGTATGGAAACTTCGTAACAAAACAGACTTTACACTGTACTGATTTGAGTTTGCATGTGTCGAGAAATTATTCTTCCAAACTTTATGTACCTCTGCAGCCTCACAAGACTCACAACAGTTTCGCGCATATTGTCTTGCGAGGTCGAGTGCTGGTTCGAAAAATAATATTATACTCTCTGGAATCCGAGTTCGCATAGGATCGACGAAATAACCATGTGAGGAACATTTTTAAGATGACGAATAAGGACTTTTGTTAGGGACTGCTCCTTCTACTTAGCATTTTTTCTTTTCAGCGAGGAGAGATCCATGGAGGAAATCTCAAGTCCCCATTGAGCCGTTTCGGTTATGTAAGGAACGATTTCTTATTTTGCTATTTAACGCTTGTTAGCTTATACAGCTTGTAATTAGAGAAGGATCCGCCTAATTGTATTCCATCCTATCGGCTCTCCAAATGGAAATACTCGTATGTGAACAGGTATTGTACAGATATGCTACAATTTCGGTTAATTGTGCTTGTAAAGAACAATTCAAAATGATGCATCTGAAAAGATTGTACTCTTAATATACATGTACAGTATACACTAATTTCCTGCATACTCAATGCAGAAGATCCATGTATGACACCACAGCAGTGTACCGTGTTCGTTACGCATAACAATGTCGAGATTTCGTCTTTTCTTGTTTAGGTAAAGCCTCGGAAAAAATGCGGAGCAATATGTTTCCATGTAGGCATATTCTAACAGCACATAATCGGAGGAATGACAAGCGTACGGACGAACTTACCACCAGTCCTTGTAGCAACGAGAAACCGTTAGCCCCATAATATTGGGATGTTACGGTGGCAGATGCCGCGCGCAAAATCAGGTGGGCCAGACATCACGTGCTTCAGGAAGTGGGTAATTGATAGTAAATCAGATGTTATGGATGTACGATGCGATCTGCGGCTATGGTCCTGCAACTTTTCTTCTAGTGCCGTTATGGACTTGCGAACTGATACGTGGTGCCTCGCATTTGTCCTCATCCCAGCAGAAGTCGCATCGATACAGTCGGGCATCAGTGCCGTCCATCAGCGCCACCATACATTGTCCTATAGTGGCAGAAAAATCGAAAATTTACAAGTATATTTTCCTCAACAGAATTTTTGACAAAGATGGTAACACGAAGCCGATTATCGTGTCATTGTTAAGTACACTCTTAATTTACTGGTGCGTGCTGATGCGACATAATTCCATGAGATGTGTATCTGTTTTAGCACGTCAATGGCACATCGAAACATGATTGTTACATTAGTGCAAAGAAATCCAGAACCTCCACGCAAAATTCAATCTAATAACGGACAACGTGAAGATGGATGGTCAGAGGTGAAGGAAGGCCAACGTTGGGAAAACCAGCCGAACCTCGGGGACGTTGATTTCTGACAACCGGAATGCAGAGAATCGGTGCATCCCGACTGATCGGTAATCAAGTAACCGAGCATCACCCTGCAGAATCGGAGCGGCGGACTACACGACAGCTGATAAATACCAAAGAACAGCTACACTGTTTATAGCAGGAAGATGGCGTAATGTTACCTTTCTGTCTGATATAAGCATTGCGGCTTTGCCATTTCGACGGAAATTAGGATGAGGAGGAACCTTTGGCAATGAAGAGTCCTGGGAATGCTTCAAGGCAATTCGGAGAGTTTCAAAGAACGGGCACAAGAGGGATTACGCAGGCAAGTGAATGTCATTAACTACTTCTCCCATCAAATGCCTTCCTGTGTGAACCGGGTCATACTGGAGCGGATGTTTACCGAGACAACTCGAAAGCGGAGTTTGTTTATCCTTCGTATGTCCAAGACATCAAAGGATAATCTGACAATTATTTGCCCGATTATTATGTGTGATGCCAACTAGGAACGAAATGGATGCTGGGGCATATTTTCTTTGGAATTTCGTCCATTTCGATGTGTGTGTACATCCTGTACTGCAGGATATAGCGGTGACTGATGCCACTGCTACAACAGCGTTGGCCACTCTTATGGAAGAGAACGGTAATTTATCTGAGTAACTCGGGAGAAACTGGGTAGAACCTTTCTCTTGCTCGGTATTACTATCATGAGTCGCGTGAATAATCCAGTAATTATTTTTATTAGTTCTTAATGCCGCCTGCTACTGCTGTTCAGTACAAAGACAGTTCGAGGTGGATTCATGGTCCGCATAATTACCGCCTGGTGGCTCGCTCACAAGCGCGCAAATTATAAGCTGACGCTGGATTACGTGATTCTATAAGTCCCAAGACGAATTCTCCACGACCAGACATCTTTCGTCGAAATGTCACGAAGGTGAACCGTCTCAAAGCAAGATGTGCCAGACTGAAGTGTCCCAGCGTCCGTACGCCGCGGCAAAATGTCTTCGCGGCGAAAAGTGGCACGTTAAATCTGAGTGCGGAGCAATGTCCTACTGCCAGTTGTCCTTGTTCATCACGATGTGCCCGGAACCGACAGTTCTTTCCGGCAGACATACAGTAGTACGACAGATCAGCCTTTACCACCGACAAGGCAGTGCAGAATGTTATTGGAGATTCTTTGCGTGGAGCGATAGGGGTCGCACTGCATAATGGAGGTAGATTTCCGATACGAAATTATATTTTGAACAAGTGAAATGCTGACATTCTGGATTCGTAGGTGGCGTTGGGTGGGGCGAAGTGGTAAGCGATTGATTTGGAGCTTGTCTTGGATGGAGTAGAATTGGGGGAGAAACAAGCCCGGACCGTACCACACTGGGACGTAATGGCGTAAGTTGCCTATCAGAATGACTTAAACTGCGAGGCAGTGTAGCAATTTGTGCGGCGGATTTTGCAGAAGACATCGTTCGTGGGCTGGAAATGCGAATGCGCAGGACACTACAAATATGGCGTGTCAGGCGAGATATGCGACAAAATCCGATACTACCAGTACCAGTAACCTTTCCGGCACCCCTTAGTGACGATGTCAGGATGAAGTTGGAATGGCGAAAGAGCTGGATTCCGTAAGCCGGCGAATGTCCTGCCTGGACTCGGACAGATTATTACTGTATTAGTATTCCGGGTTTGTTTTCGATAACACTGCGCCCTTTTTTTGCCATGAATAACCTGACCGGTGAGCATACACCGGTGTTAATTCAGACAGTGTAGTTCCTTTACTCAACGTGATGGGCCATGGATGAGTTTCTGGCACTAAAGCGTTAATCAGAGCCACTTTCTCAGGCTCACGCTGGATACATGCTTGATAACTAGCCGGGAATAATACGAAATTTGAAAGAGCTACTAAAAATGAAATGCTCCCAGTTGGCCCTGAGATCTGCACCGTTCGCTGGACGTACGTACATGTACATATAAATGAGCAACACCAAAATAGAGCTGTGGCAACCTAAAAAAATATTGTCGTGTCCCTCGTGTGTGACTTAAAACCAACACCAGCACCGATTAATTTGGATTTTAGAAGCTAAACGAGTACATGTTGGTCATTTAAAATGGATGACCAACATCGATGGTCAACTATCAGGTCGCGGCAATCGTTCTGAACGCGCAACATGACAAGTTAGCTTAGAGACTTTGTCGCGGTACATGAGCTGCTTCTTTCCTTACATGTCCAAAACGCACGAATGTTCAGTCAAGCAGAAACATCCGGATACGAATTTACGCTCATCACTCTTGTTCACGACTGGGACAGTAAAGAACAAACTGGGTGGACAAAATTACGGCGGGCGTTTTGAGCGGCTCAAGGGTTGATTTGAATGAGCTCTGGGCTAAACTGTCCTGCGTAAGTGCGGTGCAATTCCGTGGTCCGATGAGGGTAATCGTAATAACAGCGGAATCGTGACCTTGCAGTTCTTCCAACGTGTACAGCCGATTGCTTCCTCGAAGCGCTGAAGAAGCAGTTCGACTTGCGTTGCTTAAAAAGCATCGCTTTAATATCTTTCTTGTTCTCCAGTATAGCCCAGAGAACCGGTCTCCATTGCACGAATGCTGAATTACAACACGAACCGTGTTAAATCATTATTTATTTATTTTTTATTTATTTGCTAAGACTGCCGCGCACATGGGCTTGACACCGCATGTACTTATTTAAAATGTCTCGTAAACCCCAAGCGTCGATAACCCTTTGGTACACGCTGCATTGAAAATCGGACGTGTAGCGAAACAAACAAAAATAAGAACACCGCAATGATCGCTATACAAAATGAAAGATCAAGCAAAGTGAATTAATACACTGACTACTTTTCATTGGTAAATGACTGCAGAGCAAAAATCAATAAACATGTCTAAATTAACCAAACAGTCAAGAAGCCTCAATAGCACAACAGAAAGAGTTCATTAAACTTCTCAACTTCAAACATTGTCCCTATAACTGAAGCCGCGTTTCCCCGCTGTATCTCTATAGACAACCGCTGTGGGAGAAATTCAAGGGAGCGGGCTTCTCCAGTTTGAGTGCTTAGTCGTTTCCCGATTTTCTTGATAATGGAGGCCGCTGATGGCCCCCACGCGCCCACTGTCTCGAAGGCTATGGGTGCGAAAATATATCGACCGTCCAGGTACGAATAAAAATTCGACTTCCTTTCTTTGGCCTGTATCTACACGGACCATTTCTTGCGGCGGTAGTGCGCCGAGGGACGCGCATTCGCCGACTGCAGCGCACACAGTGTCTACAACACGAAATCTCAGACGAATGCTTTATTAAGCTGTGGAAAAGCACGGCTGTCATTTGCCCCTGGCAGAGGCTGGTTTCCATCAGGCCTTTCCATATGACGACCGCCCACTTTCATCCGCTGGTCTAGTTTACGCAGCTCCTCCGCACCGGGCAGTGGCAGCGCTGCCTTCATCGCTTCCCACAAAGCGCCGTCGAAATCAGCACGGGCCGGCTGCAATCGCGCGCTGCCAATGTTGAACTCGATCGAGTAATTGAAGTTCGAATGCGAGAAACAGACGACGAATCCCAATGAAACGACGCAATCGGCCTTATGGATGGCATCGCGCGGCAGACTGCGGCATCCGGTCACGAAGTCCTCCAGCCAGCAGTAGGACCGGTACTCAGGATTCTGTCGGAACGGTTTCGTCTGCACACGATGAGACAGATTGGCAAATGGGACCCGGTTCGCTGATCAGCAAAATGCTGGATTATCTCCGATGCTTCCCTCCGGTACTGTGCCCACGACAACCGATCCAAGCGCGTTATGACGACACGCTGCGTACCGCGGCGTTAACACTGGTACAAACCCGCCAAGCGTGCAAAACTGCCATTGTTCCAATCGGCCTGGTCATTATTGCGGATGACGATGGTGGAACGCAGCAAAGGCGTCTCCGTGATCTGCTTCCATGTTGTGCAACGGCACGCAGCATCGTCTGCGTTGGGTTGTCCACGTGGGGGAAGACCTCCTGCCACCGTTCCGTCGACTGCGTGGCTGGTTCGTCGAGCCCGGCTATAAAAACTTCTGGTCGAGCGGATCAAGTCCGCAGGCAGTCGAATCGTTCTCTCCTCAAAGCACTACAACACATATTAACTCACGCAAACAACGGTTCTACACGCCGCACCAGGATTGATAAAGGAAACACCTAAGAAGTGCGAGAACCATTTCGATACAACGTAAACGTACTGCAGTACTCCGTCCACAATGCCCACCACGACAACCCACGAACGGAGATACAGCTCGGTGCTTTTTAACTGTCGCATCAGCTCCTGCACTTTCTCCGGGCGCATTGAAATGAATTCCTCCCCTAGGTCCACGCTGCCCTTGCTGAAGGTGTCTGGACTGATTTCTGTGCAGGAATGGCGTTGTTGGAAGCAGTACGAAGTGGGCAAATACGTTTATTAGGGAGAATGTCGGTGCAGTGCTCGCCCGTGTGAAGACCACGCCAATTAACAACGGCAGCTCCGTGCAGCTTCTGCACGCAGCCGAATTCCCCTGGAAGCCAAATCAAGGAACCCCGCGGCTTCTCCGGCACCAAAACCTCCATTGGACCGCTGAATCAATCTTCTCCAAATAATCGGTCCTGCTGGTTATGCTTGGGAAAGAAGGGGCTATCAAATGGCACAAAATTCACGTCGCTGGTTGGTACAGAGCAGATCCACGAAGAGACCGTCTTCGGCCACGTCCACAACCTGTCCGCGGAGTATCAGTTGGTCGAAATGAACCTGCACCACGTTCATTTGCTGGGCGTGCTAAGTATGCCAAGTATGGAAAAAGGGGTAGTTAGGCGGCTGACGATGGGCATAACGGCACTGCTCTTGCGAAGTATTCGGGCAAGGAAGACCCATGAACAGCAAAATGGAATTCAGCTGTGACAGAAATTAGTGAGCTATGAGCGTATCGGATACGATTAATAGTACAGTACGCCTTTTTCGCATGTATGCAAAGAAGAGCAACGAAAAAACCGCGACTCCTGAGTCTACAGACATTACCTTGCAAAATTTATCTCATATTTGGGTCATCTTACATATTTGGTATTTTGGCAAATATGTAAATATGTTTGATATTTTGGCAACCGGTCATTTACACCACCCCCATGTGACGCGCTGCGCACTGGCTGATCGCACAACGTGCTTTTTGGTTTGTTACTCACTGGTCTGTTGCCATCCAAACAAAATTGAAAACGTGGGAATTTGAAATTACTGAAATTTGTAAACGTGGAAGAGCGGTTCGTTCACATGGCACCCGGTTTAGTTCAAGTTCTTTCTTTATAGAAATTTTAAAATTTTCTAAGTTCATGCTTCGAAATTCATGAGCGATTTTTACTATGAAAGCTATTAATTTGGTGTATTTTTGTTTTTCGGAAAATTTTAACACCAGGTGACCAAAGTATGGGAACGTATACTTGAGGTGACCGAAATACGGGAGAAACCGAAATACAGATTTAATGCACACCGCAGGTAATAACAGCTGAAATGTGGAACATCAATGTGCAGCAAGGTTTTTTAAATGACATAGATGAAATAAAAAAATCCATTAGGAAAACAACGCTGTTGGAGCTCCCTTAAGTGAAAACCAGAAAAAGGGCTAAGGTAGCACGCTTCGAAGTGAAAGTAGTAAACGACATACAGCGAATTGGTAAGGTTTCGCAATGGGCAATTACTGTGATCGTACTAAGGGCATCTCAAAAACATCCCGTTGTACTGATAGCCGGAAACCAGATGGTCACCCGATTGACCGACTGCAAGTCACGGTTTGTAGCGCAAGGAGGAAATGGCGGGCAGTGCGCGACAACTTCTCCACCTGCAAACCCTGCAGCCCGTCCACGCACCACTTCTTCCCGTGGTAGTGCGCCGAGGGACGCGGATCGGCTGACTGCAGCGCACACAGCATCTGCAAGCAACACAATCATTACGCAGTATTTTTCTAACGGCAGTAAGCTGGACAACGCCAATGGGGGAACAATCTTCGACAGGAAAATAGATATGTTACCTGGCAGACGACTTGCTTGAGTTCTCGCTGGGCATCCGTATTCCGATAATTCAACCGATCCAAGAGTTCCTGTAGCGTCTGTTTACTCGGTACCTGGAAGAAATTCTGTCTGTTCGCTTTACGACTCTCTGCTTGCCGCACTGCTGCCGCAAATATGCCGCGCTGAATGAGTGGAAAGAATAAAATTTAATGCGACCGCCAATGACATGCAGACTAACTGTCACATGCAAGACTATTATTCTGACTACAACCGGCTGCTGCGAGGCGGCTATCGTGGTACTGTACAATCAATCTAGAGTTAATTTTTTGCAGTTACCGGCAACGTCGCGTCCATGGCATTCCATAGTGCCCCTCCGAAATCGGGACCAATCAGCAGTCGGACTTTACGAATCTCCACATGGACCATGACTGCTTCCATTCGTCCAAGGAAGAAATATGCGTAGACCAAGCTGACCTCGGAGCTGGTCAAGAGGACTGCTTTGCACGGCAAACTGTCGCAGGCAGCGATAAAATCCTGCAGCGAGGGGAAATCCCGATTCACAATGGTCTTGACCGTCGCGGAATCATCGTTGTGCAGGACACATTCGGGACTGCTAGCACGCGACACAGCGGAGTTGACGGCCAGCACCACATCGAAGCGGTGGATATGGAGCTGGCGCAGTCGGATGCCGGTTCGCTGCTGCGCCGCATAGCGGATCATCCGGCTGAGCATCAGCATATCCTCCACAGCGGCGTTCCGCGCCGCGTTATCCGGAAAGCCGGAATGCGCCATTAGGATGTAATGCGTGCCCGGCTGCAGGCATTTGTACAGCGTCGCAGGGGGGAAAAAATGGCGAAATCGCCATTTGGCGTCATCGTAGCCGCCCAGCGTAATGCGGCTGCTTACCACGGGCTCGGCGATCAGCGTGTCCCACGTTTTGCACACCGCGCGCAACTCCATTTGCTCCTCAGTTCTCCAGTGGGAAAAGAACTCCAGCCATAGTTCCACAGACAGCGTTATCCTGTCAGGCGTTGCCAGGACGGGGGGTGCCAACTGGGACCGGTCGAACAGCTTCCAGTCGAGATACAGACTGGCGAGAGACGCCTGAGAAAGTGTACAACACACATAACCGATTTACATTCACCACCAAGAGCCAACTGTAATCTTACCAAAGAGCGCCGGTTTTTGGAATGAACGGGTTGGGAATGTCCCGACTGGCAAATGTACACCAAATTCCCGTCCACGAAGTCCATCACGAAAACCGTGCAGCGACAGAGATCCAGTCCACAGCCGTTCAACTCCCGGACAAACGTCTCGGCTTCTTCACTGGACAGCGAGCGAAATCGGTCGTCTAGCTGCAGAGTCTGTTTGACAAGGGTTTCTGGACCAATGTGATCTTGCAGCGCAGCCTCCTGATCCGAAGAAGAGATCCCTTTGCCCATCGCTGCAATGCGCTGACAGTAAGCTAGGCGCCGCGCATTCCGCTCCGCCTGCACAGACCAGCGGATTCGTTCGCTGGGGACGAAATCTTGGCACACCTCTCCGCTGTACGGACACCGCCACTCCGCCAAGGCTCCGCGGCACTCCCCCCGCGCCATTCCGGGTCCGAAACTAACCGCTTGACCGGAGATCCAAATCCACGGACCCAACGACGTCTCCGGTACCAACACTTCCACGGGATCGGTCGGGAACTCCTTGAAAGTAGTGGGAGACAGATCCGCTTCGCTCATCTTGCTCAGCACAAAAAGACGGTCGAATGAGACGAGTTCACGGCGTCGGTCGGGACAGAGCAGATCGACGAAGAGCCCGTTGTCAGCCACGTCCACCACGCGCGCATACCGCATCAGTCCGTCGTCGAACAGGACGTCCACAGCGTTGTCGCGGTTCATTCCGCTGGGCATTCCTGAAGGTGATGTCGGGACTTGATAAGGAAAATAGACTGGGGCTGATGAGCAATGCGCCACCGCGTGCACAGAGGAGGGCGCTCCACTAAAAGCCTTCTTCCTAAAACTACAATGCAGAGCGAAATTGAGGCACGGTTAAATAAGACAACAGTAAGGTGTAAATGTATCATAAAATACCATTATTACTATTATCAATATTATATGCCTATCGTGTACCGTGAATGCACCGCTTATTACTGTGAAAAATTCCATTAGGAAATATTGACAACTGTTTGCTTTGTGAAGTTTCTCACAGTGACTGCAGGCATTGCTCGAACACCGACTGTGGCAGAAAAATTGTCGTTTTAACGCTTAGTTAAAACAACTGGACTAATCGGCGTTTTAACCGGCTCTACCGGCTGACTAACGGAAGGGAGACACTCGCTATTACATTTACGCCGGGAGCGTCTTGCCTAAACTGGACGTACGTACAACTGGTATAAGTGCTTATGACACTCAGTCTGGGATTAGTGTCAGGAATTCCCAGATCCACCAGATTCCGCTGCTGCGAGGGTTATATGTAAAGGTAACCAATGCTTCCATTAACCATCGCTGCCGCGCTGTGATACTAATCTCGTCAGGCTTTTAACAGTTGCCAACCCGCGGATTTAATTAGCCAAAACTTGGTAATGTCGTCACAGTAGTACCTGTACGTACGAAGCTGCATTGTAAAATTTAACCCTATTAGACAAAAGAGCCGACGTGTTCCTTGCGGGAGAACTCGAAAGCATAGGCATCTACATATAGATACAGTACGTACTCTGCAGCTACACTTCTGTTCTTCTTTCTGACGGGTTTGTTGGTAAATTGGTGCAATGAGTCACGCGAAAAATAAAAAGATAAATTTCAAACAGTATTTACGGCACCTGATTTGCTTAAAGAAACAGCACCAATAAAAGTGCCCCAGAAAACATGAGATGAGACGAGTGTCCCAGAAAACATGAGGTGAGACAAGGTTCATTCTCAATTCTCCAAACTTAACATTGACATAATGAACACGCAGATCGACGTTCTCTCTGATTCAGTGTCAAACTGACTGAGAATTCCAACCGTAAAAGACAAGATGCGGTATTACAAGATGCGGTATTGAAAAAGATGTAAAAATACAAAAAAACGCAGTGCGCCGGCAAACAAACACGATTCGTATAGATACTAGTATAGGTTTCAGCAGCCCTAAGGGCAAGCCAGCGAGCGACACTTCGACATTTTTGAAGCCTAAGAATGGACCCATATTGCAGCTGTTTGACAGTTTGTAAGGCGCAGCGCCGCCTGTGCCAGGGCCCCTCGACTCAGCGCTGTGAGGAGAGGAGCGGCTCACGTAATGCGACAAAATCTTTCAAAGGATTTCAACGTACTGCGCCGTGGTGCAGTGGTACTGGTGCCTACGCGGATCAAACGACGTAGCCGTAGTTCGATTCCCCCATCGGCGCCTTTTTCAGCCCTATCTCGGTTTCCATTGGATAGCGCCCTGGTTCTAGCGCCATACACATCCGTTCTGCGGCACCGCGACATTTCGCCGCGGACAACTAGTCGCATGACTTGTGGTCGATGACATTTCACCGCAAGGCCATTTCGCCGCGCGACGTTTCGACGCAGGACATACGTCGCGAGACTTTCCGTCGCATGGCCGTTTCGACGCAAGGAAATCTCGCCGCAAGGATATCTCGACAAAGCGACATTTCGGCTGTAAAATAAATGATTTACAAAGCTAACTACACGGGTCAGAAAAAGTATAACAAACAAACAAAACCAAACGAACAATTTAAGAAACCTAGAACAACCTAAGAATAACCTAAGAAACGCAAAAAGCCATAAAAACCTTAGAAACCTAAGAAACCTAAGAAACTTAAGAAACTTAAGAAACCTAAGAAAACTAAGAAACCTAAGAAACCTAAGAAATCTAAGAAATTTAAGAAATCTAAGAAACCTAAGAAAGCTAAGAAATCTAAGAAATCTAAGAAATCTAAGTAGACTAAGAAACTTAAGAAATCTAAGAAAGCATAATAAGACCTAAGGAAGTCTAAGAACGACTAAGAAAGCCTAAGAAAAACTAATAACATGCATAAAAAAAACTGAAAAACTGGTGAGAATTAAGCGCGGTGAATTATTTTGCAGAGATTAGTCGCATGGTTCGAAAAATCCTAAAACGCATTGTCCGCGACCAGACGTCTTGAGTCGAAATGTCGCAAAGGTATAATGTCTCAAAGCATAATGTCCCAAACCGAAGTGTCCCAGCGGCCGAATGTCCTGCGGCGAAATGTCTTCGCGGCGAAAAGTCGCGCGTCGAGTTTGAACGCGGCGAAATGTCACACTCCGAATTCTCAGGGTGCGCGTTCGGCACCTTCATGTACGTACGCATGTAGCCGGCAGAAAGGTGGACGGGTGGATGGTGGATGTTCAATGAAATCGCATCCACCAGTCTGCCGACCTTCGGCAGATTGGTGGATGAGCCATCCACCTTTCTGCCGGATCACATCCACCTTTCTGCCGAAGGTCGGCAGATTGGTGGATGAGCCATCCACCTTTTGCCGGTGCACGTCCACCTTTTCTAAAGCCATCCACCTTTCTGCCGACCAAACGATCGGCGTCTATTGATGTGACAATGACGCCACTGAGAACATTCATGCCCATTATACGAGTAAGATCACGCATAAGATCGTAAGATCATGCATGCGTACACTGCTCCGGCAGAAGTGGATGCAGACACCAGATATTTCTACCGCTCTGTCTGAACATGTCGTCCTACCCGTTTTTCTTCTTCGGAGTGATTTTGTTTTATTTCTTAAATTTAAACAAGACCCCAGAGGTATATGAGGAGGCGGTAGTCACGTCGTCTTTCAGCTAGTCAGCTGGCTGTCCCCGCAGACGCAAAAGTGAAGACCAAATCTTTTTCTCTCGTTCGGTTTTGGGTAGATATAGCCAGTCAGCATTCCAAAAGGTAAGAAAAACTGTTAGAAGTTATTAATGGTATGCTGTCTGTGGCGAACAACGGAAACCAGGATTGCTCCTCTGCGAGAATCCCAATTGTGCTGGCCGCCCAAAGATTATGGGAAACTTATAGTGCTCTCTAATTGGCATTATTCGCAACAAACAGCAATTTACTCGGTGCGAAAAACTTCCGAATGCTTTCTTATGTTTTTATGAACCATTGGAAAGTTGTTTGGGTGGATTTAGCCAGAACTGAACGAGAGGAAGGGTTCTGGTCTTCACTTTTTCGTCTGCGGAGGCAGGCAGCTGACTAGCTGATTAACACGGTGCTCCTCGTCTGACTCTATATTTAAAGCTAATTTCGAAAATAAAAACAAACCTCTCCTGAAAACAAAAACGAGTAGGATGGCACGGTCAGACAGAGTAATAGAAATATATCTGAGTGCCTGCATCCACCTTTCTGCCGGAGCAGTGAACGCATGCATTGATCTTACAATGGGCATGAGCCATGAGTTCACTCAATGGCGTCAGTAACATCAATAGACGCCGATCGTTTGGTCGGCAGAAAGGTGGATGGCTTTAGAAAAGGTGGACGTGCACCGGCAAAAAGGTGGATGGCTCATCCACCAATCTGCCGACCTTCGGCAGAAAGGTGGATGTGATCCGGCAGAAAGGTGGATGGCTCATCCACCAATCCAGCATACGATCGCCACCTTTCGCACCGCACTGCGGATACGCTCTCACGCTGAGCCATACAGCGCTCTCGTTCCTCAACCACTGAATGACTCATCGTTCACTCGCTCGCGTTGGATATAAGCACAGTCTGCGCGCAAGTTACGTCTATGGGACCAGCTAGCCTTGCTCGACGCAGCACGCCAGTCCATTCATCAGACGGACTTACGAGCCACATCCGGACTTGCACATAATATATCTAATTTGTTAAACAAACAAGGGAACGGAAAATTAAAATTTTTGAATACCGACAACGGAAAAAATCAGAATGTTAATATTCCAGTATGCATATGTTCGCGCTTTTTATGTCATTTCGCAAAATTAATATAACCCCCTTACACCCTCGTTTATTATAGGCACCCCTTCTCGCACCCCGTAATTTATAGACACCCTTTTCTGTTTATTAAATAGAAACAGTGTATTTTATAGGCACCCTTTAATAGCATATTTCGGATACAGAATTCGAAAATGATTTCATGTACTGTACGTGCGTCAGTCTCTGATACAGATACTCGCATACTGCATACAGACAGAATCAGGCTTTCCATCCGATGATCGGGCGGTGAGGCTGATCTGCTAACTTAGATCTAATGAGGATGGCATCGTCGGCGGTAATTTTTGATGTTTCGTTTCGCAATCATAATTTCGGATGCCGGTTTTCTGTCGGTTCTTTTCGGACACCGGGTGGCCTCCTTGGGTTCTTTTCAGACACCAAAGTTTTTCCTTACCCCCAGTCTTTGTGGCAGTTTTTAAAGGCGTTGAAAAACGCGTCGATATAGTGGTTCCTTTCATATGACACAAAATAAAGTGCAATTGGTCGACCTTTGCGATCTTGCACAACAACAGCGTACAAGCAGTAGTTTTCAACATTACCGTATCTAGGTTCTAACACTACAATTACAGTATAATATGCTAAAGTTTCATAGGGGCGCCTATAAAAAACAGGGTACAGAAAGAATCAATTAATAAATAAGGGTGCCTTTAATTAACGGGGTGCGGAAAAGGGGTGCCTATAGTAAACGGGGGTTTTTGGGGTGCCTATAGTGTCACCCTTAAATTTAAACCAATCAATATAGCTAATTATCACCAGCAGTTTACACTTTACAGTTTATATTTGTTTGCAGCAAGTACAGAGTATAACTGCAAAAATAAATGCAGTGTCAGAATTATGTTTTGAAGAGTAACAATTTTGCATGTTATGTACATAACATCGCAACCTGTGGAAACGACTGCAGGCGCACTATTTTGCGCGAAATTCTCGTTGGCGCAACGCTTTTATTTCGTAACTTCTGTCGTAAATGGATAACTAGGGGTAGAACCCTTTATAGCGCACAGTTTTGCTGTGAACTGTCGCCACTACATTTCGTCTAAAATGATAACCTCAGTCATCTATGATAATTATAAAAAAGAATAATATCTTAGAAATCACATATCACTATTTTATCATTTAGATGGCTGCTTGGCATGCATTAGCCATATGCACGTTTTTATAGAGCTGATAAAGAATGTGGAATGACGCCGTTTTAGATCGTTTGGCGTAACTTGCAAATTTTTTCACTTAATTCTCGCTGTGTAAAAACGTTGGAATTTACGAGACACGCTGAGAATATGTTGCGCATATTACTTACTACAACAAATTATTGTTACGTC